TCACCATAGGTACAGACCATCTGTAAAATGTTTTCTTAGCCTAGGTACTTGTAAGAAGGTGATTCTTGAATTACATCAGTATTGTCTCTACCCCATGTTCAGCAACTGAAAACATTAACACAGAAAGACATCAAATATCACACAAGAAGCAGCCATTAATGAACTGCATGTATATGTTAATGTTGATATGAATGCACAGGTCATGGATATATCTTTCTGAAGCGTGCACATAGGTCTTCCTAGTAGAATACCCAAATTCTCACTTTCCTTCATATGCTGCTCTTCTTGCCTGTCAAATACAGCAAATATGGTTATTTTGAAGGTAAGGAGTATAAGGACCAGGTCCCCAGATAGGTTTTGGAACCTAACTGCTGTTTCAGTTGCAGCCATAAAGAATTTTAGAGAAGGTTGGTAAGATAGCTTTGGGGATAGCATAAAGCCAAATTGAATGACTAGAATATCTTTGATGATGTGGGAATTTAATGAGGGTCTTGATTTCCTAGGTGACAAACATCTACCTTGTCATTACATAACTATACCATTAATGAGGGGAAAACTGGCATGGAATGAATGTGACATTAAGGTTATGTCTCTTGTTCTACAAGGCACACTTGAAATAATAGTAACAGCTGTTTGTGGAACATCTACCAATGTGACTTATTTCATTAGCTGCTCTCTGAAGTCCACTTCAAGACTGACTTCACCAAGCTACAAAGCATTTCCTAGAAGGCTCTTGTTTACTCCACAGTGAAAGCCTGAAGTAAGGAGAGACATTTAGTTTTGCTGAACATGCGTCAAGCACTCTCAAGTCCAGAAACCTCCTGGAAGCCTTCACAACTGTTTCCAGGGAGAACCTACGTTCCTCTGCCACTTCCGACTGCCTTTCAGCCCCGAGGTATGTGGGCATTTAACACAAGATGGCAGCCCTGCTCCACGGGGCAGTAATCCTGCCTCACAAAACAGGAGTGCACGATTTTTAGCAACTTGCAAAAATAATTACACTGGGTTTTTTTGTTGGTTTTTTTTTTTTGTCTAAGTTGTACAATAGAAAGGGAAGTTTTCAAATTCTTAGTTTTCCCCTCCTCTGCATCAAATCACCTCTGCTATCTCCTTTCTCACTTTCAAGGGGAAAAGTTACAGGTCAGTCATAACCAGAGCTGTGCATTTACCTGCTAATTTCAGTGGTTTCCCCTTGACCAGAGCCAGTTTTGTCTTTCTCTTCTGTCCTTTCCCATCTGCTCACATCCTACTTTGCTTGTCTCACTCTTAGTTGTTGAGTGCTAGAGAAGGTATGCTCAAGTTTGGTTTTTTGGTATGAATAATTACGATCCAAAGATCCTCATGCACTTTTCGGACTTTACCCATGTTGTCACACTGCCTACGCATCAGACAAGCCCTAGTATTCCATCTGTAGATGGGGAAAATGATGCACAAAGTACTGAAGATAGCCATGATAACCAATTCACTGACTCTCAGCTCTCAGAGTTTGGCTTGCTTGCTCACTCAACCCTTGGCCAAACACTGGGAAAAGGGTGGGACTGGAGCAGGCATGGGACTAGTGATCTCAAAGGAGAAAGCAACCAGCCTCTGCTATGTTTAGCCTGCACAGGTTGTAATTTGGGCTGGAACCACATGAGGGAAACACGAATACACTGACAAAGGTGCTGCAAATGAGTTGTCCACGCCACCCATAGATTCCCCTAGAACATATGGTACTTGAGAAAACAGTCTTCAAAAACACCCCACCAGCCCCACTTTTGTGTTGCTCCTTTGTTTTCACAGAACAATGATACCCATCTCCAACAGGCCACTCCAAATTACTGGATGGAACAAAAGGATCTCAGACTTGTGTTATTCAGACCTGGGGTTGTGTCCTTTACTGCTGCTTTTTACCAACAAGGTGGTATGTTCCTCAATCCCCTTGTAACATCATTTGTATGCAAGTTGAGCTGAGGCTGGGCCACGCAATCAGTTCTGGAGGAATGAGCAGCTTCTTTGTAAAAAATAAGATGTTGCAGAAAAGGGAGCAGTGAGGTGGCAGTTCAGTGTATACAATACAGAGTCCTTTTCTAGAGGAAAGGAAAACATCTGCACAATTAGCCATTGTTTGCTGGGAGTGACTAACCCTATGCCCTCACGCCAGGGCCGATGTGCTAGTACTGGCCCTGAGGCTGCTATAGATCCAGTGTCAAGTGAAACTGGTGACGAGTCACGAGTGGTGCAGGAGAAGCACCAGAAGCAGCATGCAAGGGCTCTGCCATGGATGGACATCAAACAGAACTGACTTCAGGTACACCCTCTATGGTTTGATCACAGTTCAGACTAAAAACTAAAGTTTTCTGACAAGAGAGGCTTTGATATGCTGAGTCCATGCTAAAGATTAAATTAAAAATAAGGTCAGCCTGTGGATGCACAAATTAGTACCCAGGTGGAGATACTAATGAAAGAAATAGCCAAGGGAGTCCAGAGTTATACATGGCTGAACAGTAGCTCCAGAGGATTGCCAAAAGACATCCAGGTAGATACCACCCCCAAGAAACACACGGCAAATGATTAATATTTTTTGTCCTTAATTCACAGAATTTTAGGCAGTTAGCTACCTAAGCTGGTTCACTTCACAGTAGTGCACTGCAGAGCTCTTAGCAGTGCCCCTGGAGCACTGTGTGCTACAGCACGCTCTGCAAACCCTGCCTTCAGAACCGGTGCAAGTATTTTTATCTCCTGCTTCTATGGCTACAGCATTGGCAACACTTCAGGAACCCCTTTTAGAAGGAGCTTCTGACTACAGACAGCGATATACTTCCTGCTCAGAGTTGTTCTGACACTCTAGGTTAAGAAAGAGTATATTGTTTTGACACTCTATGGAGAAACACTTTGTGCTGTCAGTTGAGGGTAGGAAAACTAAGCCCATTTCCAGCTCTCTCTAGCACACAGATCCAGAATATGGGGTTTGTCACATGCCTGTGCTCTGACATTTTAATAAGAACTCTAAGTCAGATGATTAGCTGTTTGTCGGTACTTCTGCATGTATCATCTTCCTGCCTGCTGTTGTGCCAGTGACGTTATTGTTATTACTGAGCTGGAGAAGAGGGCTGGGAATTCAGTGCCTGATGGGGAGGAAGCAGGGTAGTGGGAGGAGCAAGGCTTATGGCTGCACATCCAGGGCTGCACCATAAGGGCAGCAAGAGTTCAGTAAGGAGATTTGCAATCCTCACGTGGGATTTGTTGGGGGAGGAAAAGTCACCTCGCAATACACTCACAGGCCATGTCTTTGCATCAGACCAGGGAAGAACCCCAAAGCTCCTCTCTGGTTTGTCAACAGAAATTCAAATTAGACACTAGCTCAGCACACTTACGTATAGCCCTGGAGATGGAGACAGCAATTTACAGCACAACAGGAGTTTGAGATCAGTCAGTTAAAATTGCCAGAATGTGTTGGTGGCCAGACTGAAACAGGCTAGAAAAATCCCTCTTTTATCCTTGAGGAAGGGGCTTCATTAGGGACTATAGTGATAGGACAAGGGGTAATGGGTTAAAGCTTAAACAGGAGAAGTTTCAATGGAATATAAGGAAGAAGTTCTTTGCTGTAAGGGTGGTGAGGCACTGGAATGGGTTGCCCAGGGAAGTTGTGAATGCTCCATTCCTGGTAGCGTTCAAGGCCAGGTTGGACAGAGCCTGGGGTGACATGGTTTAGTGGTTTAGTGGGAGGTGTCCCTGCCCATGGCAGGGGGTTTGGAACTAGATGATTGGAAGGACTAAGGTCCTTTCCAATTCTAACCATTCTATGATTCTATGATCTAATCACTAAAGACAAACACACTTCAGCAACTGCTATGCTATAGGCAGTTAGGAAGCAAGGAGTTATTACAGAAAGTCACAATGCCATGAAATCAGAATTTTCCCCAGGCCTAAACGCTGGTATTCCTTCATTCTAGGCTGTTTGCTATGGTACTGCACAAAAATAATTCTTTCCTTCTGACTCACCCTTCTGAGATCCTCTGACACTACCTGCAACCATGGGGAAATGTTCACATGTCCCAGGACAGACAGAAACAAGTTGATGATGCTTCCTGTACAAACATGATGCACATGAACTAGCAAAGGCTATCTGCTTCTCTGGACGAGGCACACAAAGAAAAAATGATTTGATACACTCCTGTTAGTTGTTGTCCAGCAATTAACTGTTGTGCTGATTTGAGCTGATCCATTCTCTAATACCTTCTTTTTTGCTGGTCGGTAAATAACTGTGAGCCCACTTATTCCTAGGAAAAAAACAAAGATGTTCCAAGTATGTATCAGCTGAGTAACTGGGCTAAAATTGGCCAGCTATTTTGGCTTGTTTGAGGACAGCTCCCTTGCACTGCCTGCTGTTTGTAATGTGCATCTGGTCTGGCACATTACGTGACAAACTTTCTGCTCCTTGTTGTTTACCTGAGCTGTCATGAACAGGGCAGTAACCCAGATCCAAACAGCAACAGGGATGGGCACGAAACCCAGCCTTTTTTTGGTCTTACATCTCACAGACATTTAAGAACAGGTCAGGACAAGCAGAGGCACCAAGAGCACGGGTGACAAGCAGCCCGGCTCCCACGAGTCCATCCCCACAGTCACGGCTGGATTATGTGCCTGCTCATGCTGTATTTATAACCGCCGACTCACGCGTGGGTGCAGCGTTGCTCAACGTATGTTTAGTTTGCGTTTATATATCTAAAATAAACGTTTATTTTATATATATATAAAATTGCATATTTTACATCCATCATTATTCATTGCCGCAAACAAACCAGGAGCACCTCCTTTCTTGACCCTCCCCCCCCCCCCCAGTACGTGAATGGTCCGCACCTTCCTCCCACCCCCTCCACGGGCGGTGTGGACACGAGCCCCGCCCCGACCGCACGGTGACGGCGGGGGGGTGGTGGTGGGTGCCTCCCCGTGACGGTACAGCGCGCAGCTCGGCGTCGGCGGGTTGTGCGCTACAGTGGTAGGGCCCGGGTTGCGCTGCTGCGCTGTGCTGCGCTCGCCGCTCTTGCCGCGGGGTGGGTCGCAGAGCACCCGGCCGTAAGGGGAGGAAGCGGCTGCGGCGGCCCTCGGGAGGGACGGTGAGAGCCCGGCAGCATGAAGTTCCAGTACAAGGAAGACCACCCGTTCGAGTACAGGAAAAAAGAAGGGGAGAAAATCAGGAAGAAATATCCCGACAGAGTCCCTGTGAGTGCGGGTGACGAGGGCGGCTTCCCTGGCAGACCAGTCAGCCTTTGTTGGGCTTTGCTGCCGGCTGCTGCTTGCTTTGTATTTATTCTTTTCTGAGGCAGAACAAATGAGATCGGTAAAGATGGTTGCGGTCGTGACGATCCGATTTCAAATCCCAGGCTGCTTTTGTGTTCAGCGCAAAGCTAGGGATGTTATTGTGTAAGGAAGGCCTCTGTCGGTGGGTGGCTGAATCCCGGCTTTCTTGGGATCCGCAGTAACTCGGCAGTGGGAATGCTGCTAATCTCTTTTTCTGGGAGCCTGCGTGCGTGGGGATGGGGGATGGGGAGGGAGCTTACCATCCTTTGTGGAAATGGAGGAGAACAATGAGGTGGGTGAGCCGGGTACACTCCGTGGAAAACAAGCTCGAGATCCTTGTCATCTGATCCTTTCCCTTTATATTTATTTTGCCTTCTTTTGGCCTTTTTTTTTTTTTCCGGCACGGCCTCGCTCTGTTCTTTTGCATGAGAGAAAAAAAAAATAAGATACTTCTCAGGCTTCTTGCCCTCCTGTTTAATCATCCTGTGGAAAAAAACGTCACTTGGAAAACAAGGTCATCTCCTACCTAAACTTTGCTTCCTCATCCTTTGGTCCCTTTGGAGTACCTGTGGAAAACTTATAGCTTTATAATTACTAATAATAGTTGGGAAAAGAGGTGACAAATTGAATTAATTGTGGTGGGGGTTTTGGGTGGGTTTTTGGTTTGGTTTGATTTTGTGGGTTTTTTGTTGTTGGATTTGTGTGTGTGTGTGTGTGTTCCTTTTTAATAAACGTTTTGCAAATGTGCCTTCTTTCCATCCCCACTGGAGAGGTCTGTCCTAGATTTGCTGCCCCGGGTACTGCATGCAAAATAATTTAGACTCCCCCATAAATCCGAGCACAAGGGTAACAGTTACTCCACATGTTTTCCCTGCAGGCTGACACCATTTTTTTTCATCTCGGGAGCGGTCCTCAACTGGACTTGCAAAAGTTCTTGAAAGTCAGTATTCGGGTACATTTGTCCTGGCTGGTTTTGAGAACCCCTCAAACCTAGCAGGTTGAGCAAAAGTCTTGTGTGGTTTTGTGGTATATGATGAAGACCACAGAGGTCAGGAGTGAGGCAAGTGGTAAACTGAGGATTAACATGGCAGATTGCACAGCAGATCATGATAGATGTGTGCAGCAGAGCTGTGTGAGGAGCACAAGACTACATCTGGGAAAGGTAAAAGAGGTCAAGGTAGGGGGGCACCAGCAGATCATCATGGAGAAAGCCATGACCAAAATAACATGATGTGCTATAGTTCAGGATAAGTGAGAACAACACATGCTGAGGCCCAGATGTTAATTGTTGGGGGTAGCCTGTGGTCAGAGCTGTGTAAGGAGCAGATGAATGCAGCAGACATCACTTATGTCTCTGCCCTTCCTAACAGCAAGATCCTTGAAGATGACGTCTGTTTGACTGCCTACACTGCAGTGCCCTGATACATCTCAGCATTTTGCTGAGATTATACTGCTGGCATGGTCCCACCTCACCACAGTCACCACCCAGCAACAATAGACATACAGATAATCTGTATCTGCCCTTTGGATTTTGTTTGTAGGTTTATTTGTGTGCTTCAGAAGAGATACCTGTGTTATCAGGCAGACTGACTACAGTTGCTAGTCAGATTAGTAGAGCACTTCCATTCCTTCCCCTGCCTCTTTGCAAGATATCTCTAAAGCTTAGTGGTGATCTAATTTAAATATTTACTAGCGTTTAGAAGCCCCAAAACTCTCGCCTCTTCCCTATAGCCAGTGACTTATTTTCCTTTATTATCTAACGACAAGCCACCTTTTTGGAGTCAGGGTGGTCATATCCGTGCTGCTGATATAGCAGCTGTGTGTGTCAGTAGTTTTTAAAATTGGAGGTAAGAATTAAAGGTTTCTCTCTACTGCAGTTTCTTCTGTTAGGTATTGTCTTGTTGGATGTGCAGGTGAAAAAACATGCAAAGTGCTGTTGCTGTTCAGCCTGCATCTGTTCAGTGAGATTGTGAAACTCTCCTTCCTTCATAGCATTTACCAGCAGCGTCTTGTATGCAAATGTATGTCCTACCACAAGGTGCCTGAAAGAGCTTGAATGCCTTGTACTAATAGAGGTTCTTCAAGTTCTTGCAGTAACAGAGACAACCCTTTTTCTATTTTAAAAACAAACTTAGAATTTTCAGGGGTTTTGGCTGTGTTGGCAGCATCCAGATAGAGCACAGGCAAGAGACATCCAAGCTAGCATCTCCGTGGTATGACATGCTTAGCAGATACTCACTTGGATCTAGAAAGAGTAAAGTTAGCAAGCTACTTTGGCCAGGCTAAATACACCAAGCTCATCATCATAATGTTTTCTCTAGTATATTGTATCACTGATGTGACACCACCATTTTGCTTCCAAGAGAAGGCTTAGTCCACAGCCTTTTTGGTTAGACAACAAATAGAGTTGCTGATTTGAATTGCCAAAGAGCTGTGGGTGCATGAAACCCTTAGAAATTAGTCCCACAGTGTCTCAGATGGAGTATTTACGGTTACAAGGTCTAACAGAATTACCGAGCTGAGGAGATCTAGAAAATCCAGCTTCTTGTTAGATGGTCAAAATGGCTTCTGCAGAACAGCAAGCCACACAGATGGAGTTGTGTCATGTATCTCTTACCAGTTCAAAACTACATATCATTAAAACAAAATAAAATAAACCTGCCTGCAGTTGTTTTCTGCACAAACCCAGTAGTTCCAAAGGTTTCAAAGGCTTTTCATGGAAGAAGATCAGGTCATTTTGGAATATTTCCTGTTTCTGAGGTAAGCATTTTGCCTAGCTCTAGTAGCAAAGATGTTCCTATAGCAGAAGATCTCTTGGTCAGTTTGACTTTAAAGGTGCTGAGCTTCATATTTTAATGTGTTGTAATGACATTAGAATATAATGAGGATTAGGATTTTGTGTCAGAGGTCTCTCCAGTGACTCCAGTTGCCTGGATGTTAGCCTGTATTTTAAGTATTAGATATTTATATGGTTAAGAAAATACCCATAACTAGATAAAGTAGGGAAAATAGCCTTAAAGGATACAGATTTCACAGTAGAAAATAACTACCAAAGAGCTGGGGATTAAAAAAACCCAAACATTCCCCAGTGAGCTGTAGTTTCTCTTTAATTCTTTGCTTCATTCTAGAGCACTTGGTATTGGTGAATGTAGAAATTAGGATGTGGGACTCCTGGGAGTAGGGCTGATTTTGTGCCAATCAGTTTGGAACTGTTACCTGGAAACAGTTCAACTTGTGATGCTTCTTGTGTTCATGTATTAGCCTCCTGGTAGCTCCTACATACAAAATTAACCTGCATTGGGACCATCAAGGTGACCTGATTTTTTTAATTTTTTTTTTTTTCCCTTGGCTATTATGGTTTATTTTTATGCCTGTTCTAGACTGTTTTTTACTCAGTATGCTTACTGCTGCAGTCCTGGGCTCCCAGCACAGCTATTGCCCGCGATTTTAAGTCTTCTTCTCACCTATCTGTGCTTTAATGTTGTGTATTTGTTATAGATTAAATAAATTTCTAATGCCTGGTAGCACCATCTCTCTCAAAGGGTAATATCCTTTTTCACTGATGCTTTTTGGTACACTTTGTCTTACGATGCTCATGGGTTATTTCTTGCATTCTCTGACTCTCTAGGTAATTGTGGAAAAAGCACCAAAAGCCAGAGTACCCGATCTAGACAAAAGGAAGTATCTTGTGCCTTCTGACCTCACAGGTAACAAAGTCCATTTTTCCTGATTTTTCAGTGAGAAGGTCTCAGAAGTACTTTTTACTATGATCAGCACCAAGAAAATATCCAGGCAGGCTCCACATCTTATCATCACCTTGTTATATTTATGCACTTTACAGCCTGGATTACAACATGCAGAATTCTTTTGAGATCTTCTAAGGTATCACACTGACTTAGCATGCATGTGTCACAGCTGACTTCTAACCATGATGAAAATGGCTGAATTGTGTATCATAGGCAGTAGCATAATCATCAGTTAATGATGACCTCGCTGCAGAGTAGTTGCCAGAGGCTATATCCTTGTTGCAGGAAGAGACAAATTCTTGAAATGGTCCCACAATTTTCCAGGATGGAGTGGTTGGAGTCATAGCTACAGAGTTTCTTTTCTGAATGGTCGTAGACATTTTGTGTGTGAATACATTTGTTTTAATTTGAGAACACGAACAAGGTAAGGGAACAACATTTCTTTTTCTTGCAGTATATAGTGGATTGCAAAATACTTTCTTGTGCAACGTGGCTCAAGCAAATAGTAAGGAATTTGTTTTCAGGAATGGTATGACCAGTTACACCAAGGCTAAATTCTCTAAGGTGTCTTTGAGCTGTAGGATTTAAAGGTTAAACTATTTAGACGTCTTCCCACCACTCCCTGTAGTAGAGTATTTAATACCATAGTAGGTGGAGTGTGGACTTGCAGGGTACATACCTGAGGCATGTACCTGAGAAAATACCAGCTCCAAGTAGATTGGCTGCTAATGTGGTTGCAATCATGAAGTTCCTAATTTCTTTCCTACATTGTTCATTTTCCCCTACTTTTCACATACAGCCTATGACTTCCACCACCAAAAGAAAACAACCATGGTTAGGTTGTTTTCACAACCACAAAACAAGAAACCAAAAAACCCAAACCAAATGTTCTTTCTGCACCTAAGGCATTCTTCTCTATTCCTCTTCAGTTGGCCAATTCTACTTCTTAATCCGAAAGCGGATCCACCTGAGGCCAGAAGATGCCCTATTCTTCTTTGTCAATAATACCATCCCTCCCACCAGTGCTACCATGGGCCAGCTGTATGAGGTAAGCCTGGCCCATCTCTTTTTTCTTTTGTTGGAGTATCTGGAAGAATGTGCATTTTCACTGAAGGACAGCTGACCACTAGTCTACTGGCAATGGGTGCAGCTTGGTTGTAGATGCCTGAACCCAAACCCTTTTCACCTGGGCTGTATTCCATCATCTCTTTAGGGAAGTTCCATCCTGCAGTTATAAAGGGTAGCCCGAGGAGCCTCATCATTTTAACTGATTGTTTGCTAGTTAAAAGGATTGTTGTATCAGATGGTAAATGATTGCCTCAGCAGTGATATGTTGCTCCTGCTGCTTTAACAAAGTAATGAAATAAACCTCTTTATAGCTCAGTGGAAAGATTGGGGGGGGGGGGGGGGGGGGGGAGAGGGGAGTAGAACACACACTATAGCTTTCCAGTTTATACAAAAGAGATTTCCTTTTAGCTAGTAAAAGAACACAGTATCACTGGGCAACCATTGTCAAGGAACACTTATTCTTTGTTGAGAATTTTTCATCACTTGCACTGTATATGTGAGGACCTTGTAGGACACTGTGAATATTGCTGCCCAGCATTTCTACTGAGCAGTGTTATTTGATTGACCTTAAAGGCATTATTCTGTACTCATCAGAGGAATGTCCTCAATTAGCTGGTTTGCAGCCTGGCTTGAGTTCTTCTTTTGCTGTGTTAGTGTGCTTTAATAGAAGAGCTCCAGTATGGTGCTGGGAACCTTGTGTTAGGGTTTTCTTTTTACTGTCACGTTTTGACAGTAATTGGACAATTTGCATGTGAATGGATGAAAATCATGTAAGGTTAACACACACTGGGAGTTTTCCACATCTGGACATGTAGCAGGAAGGTATGTCTGACTGTCCAAATCTGAGATGAGGACTCTTTTCCTGGCACTCTGCAGACTTTTTGTCTCCATGTAATTACTTAACATCTCAGCTTTACTGCCCATATGTAAACCAAGACTAGAAATACAGCCACTTTCCAAAGTGTTCTGAAAAATGAAAAATACAGTCACATTTACCAAATACTGAAGTATCTAGAGGTGATTTTTGACTTGTTAAAGCCTTCCAAGTCTCCTCTCAATCTCAAGGCTGTACCAGTGCTGAAATTCTACTGCTTAGCCTGAAACAGTCAGAGCTGTGTCTGTAGCACATTTGCAGCACACTCTGGCTGTGGCTCTTCAAGTAATTTCACTGTATCCAGAAATGTGATGTGCATGAATTAAGAAGCAGAGCCAGAGAGAGGGAGTTGCTATACACTTGCTTTGGTATGAAGAAGCAGTGGCCAGAGAGAGGGAGTTGCTATACACCTGCTTTGGTATGAAGAAGTGAAGCATTTGATATAAAGGGGGAGAAATAGTGAAAGAGAGGTTACGCCCTCTTGTTACAGTGCTCCCTGGGCTTTTCACATGTAGCACGTTACAGGGCTTTGGTGTGTTACTTTCTTTCTTTCTCCCCTTGCAGGATAACCATGAAGAGGACTATTTTCTCTATGTGGCCTACAGTGATGAGAGCGTCTATGGCAAATGAGCACCAGCACCTCAGGCATGCAGGCGAGATGGACTGATGGAATGGATTTGGAGGGGGAGTGTTGGAGAGGCAGAAGGAGGATGCCTGAGAAGAGGGGAAGAGAACTGGAAGTGAAACACATGCACAATGCCATCACCTACCATGCATTAATAATAACCTTTTATTTTTTAAATTGAGGGGAGGGAGGGATGGGGGGACAGTGTATGAAAGGGTGAACTGAAAGGCTAACAAGGGGTTCTGCACTGAGGGATGGGGGGACGCCACTGTTCATAGTTATTCTCTTGCCATAGCTGAAAGTAGTTAGCCAGTATTGGAGGCTGATAGACAAGCCAGTGTGGTGGAGCTCCAGGAGGATGACTGGGCAGAAAGGCCATATTTGTGTAACCCTTTCATTGGATGAAGGCATGCCATATATTGTACACTGACCTTGTCACGCCTTGCCCATGGCACAGGCTTCACTCCTGTGAGCATTCAGTGAGCTGTTAAATACTTCACTTTGCCCACACAAGGCTGTCCTGTGCTGACAGTCTGCACTCCTACAGCTACCTGTGAAGTGTTCCAAGAGCATTGTATTTCCCATAATTTCTCTCAGTATTAGAAAGGCTGACTCTGAGGGCTGGGAACTCATCAGCTGTGAGATGTGAAGGTTGGGGAAAAGAAGGATTCCTCCCACCCCCCCCCCCCCCCCTTTGTTGCTTTAATTGAAAGTGCTGGAGAGAAAAATTAGAGAAGACATTTTCATTCCTACCTAGTGAAGTCAACTGATAAACTTGTAAGCACAGGGCTAGAAAGCACCTCAAGAGAATGACTAGCCTACTCCAGCTCTGCGACAGGACTGAGTAAACCAAACATGTCCACCATAGCTGCTTGTCAAACTTGTTCTTAGTGAGCTTCACTGAGGTGGATCCTGGAAGCTGCTGAATTTGTTCAGTTCCTAGCTAGCCTACAAGTGAGAGAGCTTTTCTTGCTACCTAATTTTAGTCTCCCTTGCTGTGTATTAAGGTAACTAACTACTAATGGTCTTGTTATTGGTGAACACAGGAAATTACTATCAGTGTTGTTCTTGCACCAGTCTTCTGCAGATTTGAAGATGGCAGAAGTCCTGTGGGTTTAGCCTTCCATGTCTCATCCTTGTACAGTCCTTGCACCACGTGCGCAAGCAGAAGAAATCAGTCGCTTCCACAAGTTTTGGTGGATTTTTGTGATTCGATGACAGTACCACTCTTTCCAACAGGAGAGGTGCTTTTAGACTTGAAGGGGAATAGACTCTCTGTGGATTTTTTTTTTTTAATTATTTTAAGCCAGCGTTGTTCTTAGAAGGGTGACAGATCCTGTCCTGTGCAAGCCTTATGCTGTCATGCCAAAGCAGTTTCTTCCCAATGGCACAAACATCAGATTTTCCCATAACTGCCATAACTCTGATGAAGGAATGGGGGTTGGGGAGTGAGCTGACTTTCACGAAAACTAGGGGGGTTTATCTAAAAATCAGAGAACTGGATCTGAATTACTGTAATCATTCCTACAATTGAGAGGGACCAAGAGGGAGGAAAAGACAAGAAGGATGAAGAAGACAGGCAGATTCCAAAATAAGTCAAAGGTGTTTGCTCTCCTTACATGAAGTTAGATCCCAGTTCTCTGTGTTCCTCAGGAATGAGAAATCACAAAGAGTGCTCCTTGATTGTGGAAGACAGGAAATCAGGTTTCAGCCTTCTCTGTTGTTCCACAGAGGTGCATGAGACAGGAGAGCAGGCTGGGAGCATAAAGTGGGAGTTAGCTGGCAGAACAGTGTGAAGGTCAGGGAAGGCAGCATGGTGGGGCTGGAGGGTCACTACCTGTGTGGTATGGGAAATAGTAGAAGAATGGGAGAGAAGGGGGGACCACAAAGGAGGTAGACAGAGTAGTCATAATGAGCAGACAGAAAATTGGGAAATAAAGGATGAAATGTGTGGGTTAGCATCCCCAGTTTTGCCTCCTGAACTTCAGGTTTGCTGTTCCATCATCTGGAATAAATGGATTTGGATGCATTGTACCTTCTGCCAACTTGGCATAACTTCAGTTTCTGCCTGCAGTACTCAGTCCTCTCTTTTTAGACCACTCTCCTCCAATTACCAGGCTCTTTTCACATCCTTTGGATGCAAATCCGAACCAGTCTCTTGTTTTAGGAAGCTCTGACTGTTCTGAAGCAAAAAACAGACCCAGGAGGCTTTCCAGGGTAGAAAACAAGATGCAGGCAGATGGTGTGCATGTCTCTGCCGCTGTCACACTTGCTCACATGCGTGCTGCCAAGCACATAGTTGTGTGTTGTCTCAAAGCTTAAGGGAGAAGTGTTGGCATTTGGGGTGCTTGGTTTTGAGTTCAGACCTCTCCTCCTGTCCTGCTGCTGGGTTTATACATGACATGTGTGGGACTAATCTCAGCCGTTTGTTACACGTAGAGTTTACAGTTTGATTTAGTTACATTACAGTTCTTTTAACTGGATTGTGGCATCTACTTCTGTTTTTGTGCTAGTCTGATATTGTACAAGGTAATGATGGTAATTCTTTTTTGTGTTGGTTAGCTGCAGGTTCTTGTAAACTAAAGTTCATACTACTTGAGCTAAGTCAACCAATCAATAAAGATGCATTTGAAAATCACACGCTTGATCCAAAATGGGTGACTAGCCTGTCTTCCTGATGTGGGCTTGTAAAAAGGAACAGCTTTACCAGAACTTCTTGATGCTCCTTTTTCCCAGAACCCCAGATTTACTCTGTCCTGTCTACCAGGATGAGTCACTTCTTTCTTATGTTGTTACACATAGCCTGGGCATGTCTTGCCATGCCACCAATGTGGACTTCAATTAGACCTGGACAACATGAGAAGCTCTTAAGAAGCATAATGGAGGCAAAGGCATTCTCTGCCTGGGCCTGGCAACCATAGAATGGTTTGGGTTTGAAAGGGCATTAAGATCATCTAGTTTCAACTTCCGTGCCACGGGCAGGGACACCTCGCACTAGACCATGTTGCCCAAGGGTCTGTTCAGCTTCAGAACACCCTCAAGTCCTCCGAAGGGTTGTTCTGAATCACTTCTTTTCAGTGTCCTGCTCCAGGCTGGGCTTGTCTGTCCCACGCTGGTGCAGAGCCTCTTGCTGTGGCTGGACTCCAGTTCAGTTAAACTGCAGGTGGCAGCTGCAGCTTTCTTTGATGAGGTAAGGCTAAGGGCTGTGGAAGGAAGGGATCACGGGGCTTTTATTGTGATACTGCTGCTTGGGAGAACTGGTTTCATGCAAAGATTGGTCCCTCGAGTGGGGCAGCCATGGGAGCACCTGGCTGGGACCAGGTCCCCATGGCTCTGCCTGTGTTGTTCCAGATTCCTTGGAGCTATGGGACTAGGAGGCCCTCTGATTGAGGCAGGAACTAGAGAAGACCCTCTGCAATACCTGGCTCCAGCCAACACCCAGGAGTTCATTAAAGCTCATCACTTTAATGACACCTAAGGGGGTGTTTTTCCCTGGTGGCACACTCATGGTTGGCGAGACCACCTGTGGGTGATGGCAAGGTTGGGGTCTGCCAGCTGTGGGGACACAAAGTCATGCCAGGAGAGACCCCAGAGCAGGGATCTCCCCGCATGATCCTGGGGCCTTGTTGTGGCCTCCCACTGTCCAGGGGAATTCCCTTGCCACCCTCCCATCGCTGCATGACCACGTCCAGGTCCATCCAGGGCTGGTGCAGAAAACAGCCCAGGGCAGCCCTGACCATATCACCACAGCAAGCTTTGCCCTCCTGCCATCCTGTCGCTCTGGGACCCTCTGCCCAGTGGTACAGTGGGGGTGTAACAAGGGAAAAGGGGAACATGGGCAGCTGGTGAGAACCACCACCCTCAGCCCCAGCACAGTTTGGAGTCTTCTCTTGTCACAGGCACAGGGCTGGTGTGCCTTTTGCATGCCATGCTTCCTGAAGAACAGCTGGAAGAGCAGATTTAAAAGCAGGTTTGGCTGTCCTGGGTTCAGATGTAGCAGTCATTTTTCACTTTCTTAATAGCTGGTGCAGTGCTGTGTTTTCGACTTTAGTCTGAGAACAGTGCTGATAACACCAATGTTTTCAGCTCTTGCTAAATAATGTTTGATCAGGGAATTTTCAGTCTCATGCTTTTCCAGCAAGGAAGGGCATGGGAAGCTGGGAGGAAGCAGAGACAGGACACCTGGCCCAAACTAACCAAAGGGGAATTCCATACCACAGCACATCATGCCCAGTATAGAAACTGGGGGGGGGGGGAGTGATGCTGAAGGCCCAGATCACTGCTGGGTAGGTTAGGCTGGGTATAGGTCAGCAGGTAGCGAGTATTGTATTGTGCATCACTTGTGTTTATTGTTTTCCTTTTCCCTTTTTAGTTTTATATTCTCTCCTCTTGTTATTTCCCGTATTATTATTATTGGTGGTAGCAGTAGTAGTTTTGTATTATACCTCTAGTTACTGGACTGTTCTTATCTTAACCCATGGGTTTTACATTCTTTCAATTCTCCTCCATGTCCCTCCAGGAGCAGGGGGAGGAAAAAGGTGGTGAGTGAGCAAGCAGCTGCGTGGTTTTGAGCTACCGGCTGGGCTTAAACCTCAGCAGTTCTTTGTGGTGCCCAACATGGGGCTGGAAGGGTTGAGATAACAACAGATCTGATCAGAGTGTGTCTGATCATATCTGTGATAAGCATTCATTGTTTCAGATTAATAGTCACTCGTCACAATGCCGACTTACTGGCTCTCAAAGTTGTTGCTCTTGATCTCACAGTTCCAGCATGTTGTACCTTACTTACAGCTGGTATTTGCTGTGTTAGTGTTTATTGGCTGAGGGCCTTGGGCTAAGGTTCTTGTTTCATTGTACTTCATGGTGATGACTTGTGGTACAATAGAATCATTGGTCATGAAACTGATCTGGCTTGTGTTCCCAGTGTGGTCATCACCTCTATAATTTGGGAGGCATGTAATGGAATTTTTTAACAGTTTCACTTTTTTTTTTTCCTGCTCGGGTGGTCAGCCTGTGAAGGGATATTCCCTCATATTCCCTGCTCCCCCACCAGGCTATTTACAGCAGCATTTGAGAATTCTGAAGGTTTCGTATGGCTTTTGAATACCCTTGAACCCTGCCTGCTGCTTTTGCTGGGGATCAGCATGTTGGCACACATACAGAGTGTGTTTTACCAACAGCCATACCACCCTGAGAACGCCCTATTTTGTCTGATCTCAAAAGTTAAGCAGAGCTGGGCTTGGGTCTTGTCTAGGGTTAAACGACGATATAGGAGGACCACCAAGAGATTTTCACCAAGAGATTTTCACCAAGGCTGGACAGCCACAAGTGACTGTGGGGGACAGTATGAGCAAGCACCTGGGCCAGTGGGCCCCTCCAGTGCTTTGGAACTTCACCTCTGAACAAGTGCAAAATCTGTGAAAATTAGCAGAACACTTAAATGAGGTGTGCTATCATTCTGGCAATACCAGAGAGGGACAAATCACTGCAACATGCTAGGGCTTGGCCTATGCCTACAGAGCACCTCTGGAAAAAGATGTCTCTGGATCTGATGGCAAAGCAACAGACAACACAGCTACTCAACCCCCAAGCACAGCAGCTACGCCAGCCTGAACAACAGACACTGCAGCTGCTCCAACCCTAGTGGCAGACACTGCAGCTGCTCCAGCCACAGTGATAGACACTGCACTTAAACCTAAGGACCAATCCATGCCAATATTGGTTGCCCCTGTAAGCAAGGGGAAAAGCAAACAAAAGCCACAAAGGGCAACTTGTACAGTGAAGAAGATGAAGACCCAATGAACTTACTACAGGGGATAGCATCTGAACAAGAGTTATTAATACATGAATCAGAGGAAGAGGAAGAAGGAGTGGCAGAAAACTCCAACAGACATCTGAGCTTTTGTAGTCAGGTATACAGAGGATCCGAGGCCAGCTATACTCCAACTGAAAAAGAGATACTGGCAGCCTGTGAAGGGGGTTGAGCTGCTTCAGAAGTGATTGGCACTGAAGCACAGCTCTTCCTGGTTGCCCGTGCTGGGCTGGATGTTCAAAGGCAGGGGCTCCCCTACACATCATGCAACCGATGCTACATGGAGTAAGTGGGCTGCACTAATTACACAGCAAGCTCGAATAGGAAATCCCAGTCGTCCAGGAATTCTAGAAGTCATCATCGACTGGCCAGAGGGCAAAGATTTTGGAATGTCACCAGAGGAGGAGGTAATGCGTGCTGAAGAGGCCCCATCATATAATAAACTGTCAGAAAGTGAAAAGCAATATGCCTTGTTTATTGATGGGTCCTGCCATATTGTGGGAAAACATTGAAGATGGAGGGCAGCTGTATGGAGTCCCCTACAACAAGTTGCAGAAACTGCTGAAGGAGAGGGTGAAAGTTGAAAGGTGAAACCCTAACCCTAACCTAACCCTTGAAAGGTGAAAGCCATCCAGCTGGCCTTGGACATTGCTGAATGAGAAAAATGGCCAATACTTTATACTGACTCGTGGATGGTGGCAAATGCCCTGTGGGGGTGATTGAAGCAATGGAAGCAGAGTAACTGGCATGTGGAGGCAAACCCATCTTGCTGCTGCACTGTGTCAAGATATCACTGCCTGGGAGCAGAACCTGGTGGTAAAGGTACACTACGTAGATGCTCATGTACCCAAGAGTCGGGCCACTGAAGAACATCAGAACAACCAACAGATGGGTAAATCTGCTAAGATTGAAGTGGCTCAGATGGACTTAGATTGGCAACATAAGGGTGAATTATTTTTAGCCCTGAGGGCTTATGACACCTCAGGCCATCAAGACAGAGATGCAGCATACAGATAGGCTCATGATTGAGGGGTGGACTTAACAAAGGACACTATTGCCCGGGTTATTCACAAATGTGAAACATGTGCTGCAATTAAGCAAGCCAAGTGGTTAAAGCCTCTCTGGTATGGAGGACGATGGCTGAAGTACAAATATGGGGAGCCCTGACAGATTGATTATATCACACTCCCACCAACCCTCCAAGGCAAGCACCATGTGCTTACCATGGTGGATGCAACCACCGGATGGCTGGAAACATACGCTGTGCCCCACACCACTGCCCAGAACACTATCCTGGGCCTTGAGAAACAGATTTTGTGGTGACACTGCACCCCAGAGAGAAATGAGTCAGACAATGGGACTCATTTCTGGAAGAACCTTAGAGACACTTGGGCCAAAGAGCATTGAGTGGGTATATCACAACCCCTACCATGCACCAGCCTCTGGGAAAATCGAATGGTACAATGGGCTGTTAAAAACTACACTGAGAGCAATGGGTGGAGAGACTTTCAAACATTGGGACACACATTTACCAAAAGCCACCTGATTGGTCAACACCAGAGGATCTGCCAACAGGGCTGGTCCAGCCCAGTCAGAACTTTTACGTACTGTAGAGGGGGATAAAGTTCCTGTGGTGCACATAAAGAATTTGCTGGGGAAGACAGTCTGGGTTATTCCTGCTTCAGGTAAAGTCAAACCCACTCGTGGGATTGCTTTTGCTCAGGGACCTGGATATACTTGTTGGGTAATACAGGAAGATGGGGAAGTCTGATGTATACCTCAAGGGGATTTGTTTTTAGGGAAAAACAGCCAGTGAGTTCAATTATATGACTGCTATATAACACTTATTTAGCCAATCAGCTAAATGCCCATCACCATTCTGGGATTTGAAAAGAAAATATGTGCTGTCATGAACATCAGCGGAGAATAAAGTCATGGGAAAAGCCAGCAGCAGCAGAACTGTCCTCAGGTCACCATGAACTGACCCTGACTTCCCTCCAATCATCACCCCAACAAAGAATGAACTTTGATGAAACCAGATGAGTCCAGCGGTGTCGGCAGCAGGCAACAATCCAACACTACACACCAACTCTCCCGCCCTAAAAGACTGTTATAAGAGATGGAGCCTGACACCATGGACTGAAAGAATTCAGCAAATTTTATGGTTATGGTCCATGGACTAAGAAATTATATCTCTCTTTTTGTGTGTATATGCGAGACAAAAGCAATGGTATCTTGAAAAATGTGCAATCTGAGCATGATGTGAATGATATGGAATAAGGAGTGTATATTATCCTGGGTTCAGCTGTAGCAGTCATTTTTCTCCTCCTTAATAGCTGGTGCTGTGCTGTGTTTTTGACTTTAGTCTGAGAACAGTGCTGATAACACACTGATGTTTTTAGCTGTTGCTAAGTAATGTTTAATTAGCTGGATGGAAGCAGAGACAGGACACCTGACCCAAACTAACCAAAGGGGAATTCCATACCATGGCACATCATGCCCAGTATAGAAACTGGGGGGAGTTACCCAGAAGGCCCAGATCGCTGCTCAGATCGGGTTGGGTATCGGTTGGTGGTATTGTGCATCACTTGTGTTTATTGTTTTCTTTTCCCTTTTTAGTTTTATATTCTCTCCCCTTGTTATTTCCCATAGCATTATTATTTGTG